GTTTGTACTCTATTAACAATGTTTGCTTACAATATGTATTTTGGTAAAATACGACCAACATCGCTATGATGCAATTATTATAAATATTCCTTATATAACCTTATTGATATTCTTTAGCATCATTCGTGATTGATCTACAGATTATAATTATACAGTAAATAATTATAAACAATTGTCAAGGTACTGTACGACTCATAAATGGAAAACTAAGTTAAAAAAAATAGAAGCAGGAAACGATGCCACAGGAAGTTCTTTCCAGTATCRTATTCTTATAGTTTTACTTTTTCCTCTTCTTTTTCTTCTCTGGTGTTGTTTTGGAAAGTTTTTCTACACTTTTACGTTTTTCTCCTTTCGATGTTGTTTCTGCTAAGAAAGAAAGTCACAAGAATATTAAGTTGGACTTTCGTTCTAAATAAAGGTTTCTTTAAATATTTTCTAAAGCCACTCCCTACCCCTCCCCCTCCCAGAATAAGGCCATAACAAACCTTCAACTGTAGAATTTTCTTCTTCATTTGTTTGATCTTTCACTTCAGTGTTGTCTTCTAAATGTCATGAAAAACATACCAAATATTATTRTCTTATCATCATTTAATGGCCTTGAATCTGAATTACTTTTCCATGTACACTCTTACCTTTGTTTGGTTGCCATAATGCACTTTTTACAAATCTCTTTGCCGCTCCTTGATCAATTCGCATTGATGCTATTTCAAATTAATACACAAAGAGAATAAGAAATGTTATTGATATATTTGAGCAATAGMCCTGAAATTGGGCTTTTGGGCTTTGAAATTATATATTGCGTGTTGCATGTTATTTTTCAGTATAATATTAAATAAAAGCTGATGGAAATATAAATGATTCAGACAATCATCGTCATTGTGATGTGAGTCAGGGCGTGGATACCTGAGAGGTCTAATTGTAATTTAGTATCTTGGGATTTACAGAGAGAGAAAGTAGAACTTAAATCTTTAATACAGAATGAGGAAAATTGTTGGAATCCGAAAAAAATCCTTCAAATACATAAAAGAGACAACTTTTATGACAGTGTTAAAATTTCAAGACAAAAATGAATAATAATAATAGTAATAATAATAATTATTATTATTATAATTATAATAATAATAACAATTATTATTATTAACTTGTAAAGCACTAATATCAATTTAACAAATAGACATCAGCTACGCCTCTTGGATCCACACTACTTTGACAATGTGATGACGCAATTTATCGTCAATAAGAGGACAGACACATAAAAAACTGATGTCTATTTGATTTTACAATAACAAAAACGATAAAAACGTCTCTTTTCTAGCTATCAAAACAACCAACGGAAAGATCGCGCGCTCGATGACGACAGCTTTATCTGTCTGTCCTCTTATTGATGATAAAAATCAGCCAATCAGCGYGCAACGAATTTGTAAGTTATTGTAAAATTACAATTTTCATCAGTGCATGAAAAATACCAGTTATATTTTTTGTGCACTTGTGCATATGGTTCATACAAGGGAGTAATGTTTATTCCATCACAGACAACATCTCATTCCCTTGAGTATCATTTCTTTGTTTGGATGCAATTATTTTATAGAATAATCTTATTCTCAAAGGAATGACAAGTCCTCTGAAATGGGCAAATCAAATGCCCAAGCTAAGTAGGTCTATTCAAATACCCTACTCACCTTGCTTTTTCTCTGTGGCTTCTTTCACTTTTCCCATGTATTTCTTTATTCTATCCTGCATTCAAAAATCCCAAATTTTAAAAGAATATGATCCTTAGTTAATAATTCTATTGGTTACAAAAGAATATATGATAAAATGTACATAAAGATCAGAAAGTCCTATTTTCACTTACAAGTTCTTGGCGAACRGGATGCTCCTTTGGGTTAATGCCCTGGGTAATGAGATACACTGAAAATTGTAACAAATTAATTATTAAAATAATTATTCACTATGAGCATGGTTAATAGTTAATCTATTAACTATGCTATGAGCTGTCCCCAATAACTGTGAGCGAGAAACGATCAACAGAATTTTACCCCTGGTTTCACTTGGCCAACTAATCACCAATATTGAATAATCAGAAGATATAACTAGCTAAAAACTAGTGTGAGCTGCGTCGGTGTTTCTAATGAAACAGTAATGATGAAAAGGTAAATTATACATCGTGAAAATTATTGAATAATCAGTTGACTATTAGACGATCAATACTCCCCTTCATAGTTCCCTGCGCCATCTTGAAAGGTAGCCGTACCTTTGCATTGAAGCGAGACGAAYGGYGAGCTTACAATGATAGAGACATRCGAATAACTGTCTAAGGTGTTAAAAAAAGGTCTCTATCATTGCAASCTCACCGTTCGTCTCGCTTCGATGCAAAGGCACGGCTACCTTTCAAGATGGYGCAGGGAACTGTGAAGGAGACTATTGTTGGTTGCCCATTAACCATAGGAATGGGGTTATCGTTAATTTTTTGTCAYATCATGAATCCTAATCGTTTAYAGAAATTTATCAAGAATCCTAATSGTTTATAGAAATTCATTTTATTATTATTTTTTAAGACTTACTCCAGAACATAGAGTTTATAGCATATGCTAGAACCAAGTCCAGCTTGGCACATTCAAGAGGTTCAAGCTGTGGAAGAATAACAACAAAAGAATTAAGCTATAACGTTTTTAATCAGTGAAGACAAACAACTAATACTGATTTATTTGAACCACGTGCAAACTTCGAGGTCCCAGTAAATTCGAATCTATACGAAGAAAGCCCTTACCTTTTCTTTTATATCCTCTATCGACGTTTCCAGTAACGGTTTGAAAGTGTCATCAACCTTTCCAAGAGCTTCGTGAAAAGATTCAAGAGCATCTGTAACTTCTTCTGGAAGATCTGGCTCTGCTTCAACGTTCGCCATCTTGGATTTTGACTAATCACAGGAAACCCATGGACATATATAAAAAGCTCACCACAGGTGACCCAAAACAGCATAAGTGTTTGTAATGAATACTTGTTGGGGTATGGGGATGGATAAATGGAATTTAGCTCTTAAGCAAAATAAGCATAATTCATCTTAAGATACACTTTTCAAAATAATGTTTAACCGGAAATTTGTATAAAGTGGACTGTTATTGAAGAACGACTTCCGGGTCCAAAACGAAAAGCAGCTTAGTAAAGATTTAAAAATACTTTTTCTTCATAACAGGAATTTTCGTCCAAAGTCGCAACTATTTCAGGTGGAAGTTAAATCATTGAACATTTTCCGCTTTTTAGCGCTTTTTGCATGTGTACGTTTGGACCCGAAGATACGACGTTACACCTTGCTGCGGTTTTCGCGAATTCGATACTCGAGTTCTGCGATCTGGAGTAGTTTCCCTACAGCCGCTTTAGTCTCATTCCATTCCCCTACGGTCCACTTCTCTCTCACTTGTGGGGACCGACATGATAATCATAAAAGAAAAGCCTTAGATCAAATTATCTATTCATAATTTATAATATTGTTCGAAAAAAAAGTCTTTAAACCAATTTTAAAAGCTTCATAGAAATCTGCTTCACGAAGGCAGCTGATGAAAATGCCCTGTCACCATTAACTTTTGGTGTGAGTCCTTCGGACGACCAGCTACTTCTTCCCATTCGAAGTCCTCCTGTTTCATCCCAAGATTCCTTTGAATGGGCATTCCAGGCAAGTTTACTGACGTGACGTCAATAAAATGACATAAGCCATTAAAAATAGTTAGGCGTTTGAAATTTAGTTACGACATAAATTACGTCATGTCAAGTGATCGGTTCGGCGCGGAATCGGAACCCGATAAACCGGCTATATTCGGACACATTTTTGAGCACACAAAAAACCCACGTTTTCACTATTGAAGTGTAAGAAAGGCCATTGACAAAGTAGTCGTTCAGTTTCGATCGAATCAGCCGTGATCAGACCTGTCACTTAGCCCTCTGTTTAGACTAGCCTAGTCTAAAGCCAGCCTGAGCCCACCTAGCTTTTATTTGACATTTTCCACGTGTTTGTGACACTTTTCGAGTACTTGGTTGGAATTAGAGGTCAAACAAGCCGAATAAATTGGCTTTTACAGCGTTACGTTACCTAAGACTTGGAGAAAATAACTCGAAATTGAAATCAGATTTCATTCACGAAAACAAGAAATATCTCTAGTGGTCGCTCTTCTTGAAGGCAGTCTAAACTCTTGCCTGATGGGCTTGCTCTATTCGCGTGTATCGACACTGTTTTCTGGTAGCCAGAATGTACGAATTGTCATGTTAGGATTAGATTCGGCAGGAAAGACTACCATCTTGTACAAACTCAAGCTTAAAGAAACAGTCAATACTGTACCTACAGTGGCGTTTAATGTGGAAACTGTTTCATTTGGGAGAAATTTGACTTTAAACGTTTGGGATATTGGAGGACAGGACAAAATTCGTCGTTTATGGAGGCATTATTTTCAAGGAGCTGAAGGTCTTGTTTTCGTGGTCGACAGTGCAGATGTCGAGAGAGTTTACGAATCCCGAGAAGAGCTTTCTCGTGTAATGCAACATACCRAAATGATTGGTGTTCCAATAATCGTTTTGGCGAACAAACAAGATTTGTCTGGTGCTATTAAACCTGAAAGAATGGCCATTGAACTTGATTTGGAGCAATACACTAAAAATCCCTGGCAAATCCACGGAACTTGTGCAACGGCCGGCGATGGATTGTACGAAGCAATGGGAACGCTTTCGAAAATGGTCAAAGAATTTCAACGAAAATCAAGAACGAAATAATCGCTTGATCTTTCGTCTCGTACAAATTCCAGCTTTTATCCTGCTATAGTTGCAAGTTATAACAAACGGCAACTTCAACTGGTTATTGCCTATGCATATTTATCAAGGTTTGTACAGTAATTATTTTTCCTAGCAAACAAAAAATAACATTTGTAAGTATTGACATAAGCTTTATAATTATTGAATGTGCAAGTGATATCGATATCTTGTTATCAATAATGCCATTCTCTGGCTTGGCTATATAGAATACAGACGATAAGTGTATCTGGTTAGTTTGTCTAATAAAAAGTTATTATTTATAAAGTAATCATTATTCGAGCGTAAACTGATCCGGCGGACTAATTTTGTTCGCGCGTGCGAAAAGGAAAATCTGTATATATACTTGGAAAAACAACTATAAATGTTATAAATTCTTATAATTCTAGGGAGGAACCAATGTGAATAACCATTTTGTCTGAGAATGGGTCAACATTTCAGACCTTAAATGCAAACAATTAATTCTAATTTTTCATTTCCGGTCCAATCTAGACCAATCCGCCCATCGTTTCGAATCGTAAGAATAAAGTGTGTTTTTTATTTCGATCGGAAATTGTTCAGTAATTACCCTGGATACCAAAGGCCAGAGCCTCTGGTACCCAGGGTATTCAGTTATGCACTTAGGAAGCTGATAATGTTTGTAAATATTACATTGATCTGTGACACTCATTTATTTTGTTAAAAGGAAAAAAWTACCTAGAAAAATATCGCATGTTGACTGGATTTAAGAGTGACCCTCAGATTTAAATACTGCAGACAATCGAGGGGAACGAGCCATCGAACACGCCAAAAACATTTTCATTATGGTGTAATAGCGTTTAGCGGTGAGTGTATAGCTGAGTAGGAACGATATAGGGGCTGCCAACCGCAATGTCTGCATGCTATAACGGAAACCAAGCAATCTTAGGGACAGTATCACAGACAAGATGCTTAGTTTTTAGGGTAGTTCGTCTCCAGTTTCCGTCAGCTGAATGACGTGACTTTGTAGCCGATTTCAAGTAGTGCGATGAAGTTCTTTAGCGCTGAGGGGTTGAACTTTAGTTGGAATAGTATGTCCGTACGAGTAATTAGAGGAAGGAAAGAGAAATGACGAATGTCGCTCGCTCGTCAGCGCGCGCAAAATGTTTACGTAACAAAAAACAAGTGCATACGAAACAAAAGCTTTTCCTTTAGCATTCATTTGGCGATGATCGAAAATGAAAGATGGCGGCTAGGTTCAAGACTGTGTACCAAAATTCATTCCAAGGCTGTACGCCAGCTGGTGTTCTCATGAGAGAAATGGAAAAGAAGGCAGAATACAGAAGGAAAAGACGACAAAGTGAATATTCTGAAGCAGGTTGTTTTTTTCCACCTGGAAAGATAAACTTCGAAGAGTAAGTTTTTGATTTTTCCTGATTAATTTTGACGCTGTTCTTTTTGCGCGGGAAAATTATATGTCTTTCTGAGCGTCCTTGACAACAAACAATTAGTACCCAATGAGCATAAGAAATATTGTCACGTGTTATTAGCATTCAGCTGGCTTCCATGTTGGTTTCTCTGCAGTAAAATGGTTTACCGATCTGCTTATCAGCGCTATTACAGGCAGCCAAGATGGGACGATTCTTCCGTGGAAGAATTCCAGCAAAAGATGAAGTATCGAGTAGACAGAAGAAGTATTGAACACCAGCATCAAGCGTGGCTTTGGGACAGCGATGATGAAGAGGACGACAACGTTGAAGAAATACCGATAGACCACAACAACAACAACAAAGGCAAACAAGATGAAATCACACGGACAGATCAAGGTGAAAACGAAAGGAGAAATAAATCAGTGCAAGCCTGGTTGAAAGATCAACAAGGTCTTCAAGAAGTAGAAAAAAGACATGAGGTACTAAGACCGAGAGATCGGATTAGACCAGAGATTGAGCATGCCAAAGAAAAAATACACGACAGAAATCAAGCGGAACAACCACGCGACATTAAAAAGAAACTCTTCGATGACGAACGACGGAGGCATCGATCTCCTAACAAGAAGATCGAAGTTTCAAGAGAAAGAAGGTCAGCTTCGCCTTCTAGAGCGCCAAATTTAGGAGATAGAAAACGTCACCCTCCTTTCTTGGCGTACGGCTGGGCAAACGATGGCCCCACTGAATACAAGAAGACACACAACATATTGGCGTCACAACATGAGGTTTGTTTACCATTGGTTATTTAGACTGGATTTAGTAATGATAATCGTTGATAATGATCATAGGTAAATTAGCTTCATAATTCGTAAAATATATGTGATAATCACCGCAATAAAGCGAAACAGGACTTGAAAATGGATGAATGACGAGAGGTGAAAGAGAAAGAACTCAGATTTTCATCCATTTCCATCATATGTATGTCTCCTATGCGTTTAAACACCCACTTGCTGATACGTAAATTTTACATTATATATTTTATTTCATATATTTTTTATTTTATATAATATAATTTTAAGATGAAATATATAATTTTGTTTTATGCTCAAGCTAATTTTATCGCAAAAACGCTTTTAACTTTAACTTTTTTTTCAACTTTTACTTTTAGTATAAATTTAGTATATATTTTCTTGGATTTTAATATTTTTCATAAACTTATGACATCAATAAAAAAATCAATATTAAATATATTTTCCTTGTATTTTAGGTGTACCCAGCAGCTTTGAGAGCTGCCAAACGAAGACAAAATGTAATTAAAGAAAAGGTAAAACTGCATGAAGAAGCCATACGAAAAAAAGAACTGGTTGCTCCTATAGCAGATGAAGAAGCAAAACTGTTTGCAAAGGATATGTGGATCACTGAATATCAGAGGAACTTTTGCCAAGCAAATGACATTAAGAGGCATTTTGGTAGATAAGGCATGAAGGTCCTGTAAAGATTTTATTTTTTAATTATTAAGTGTGTAAATTTTGATATGGTAGAGTGTAAGTTTAGGGTTTTACTCAAATTAATAACATTATATATGTGTTAATTATTCACTTGTATTATATTTTTTTAACGGTAACTAACAGACAAGCATTAATATTTTTAGTAAAATAATCATTGATTAAAAAACACATTACCCTGGGGTCCAAAGGTTATTTGTTCTCACTCAGGCTCTTGCTGTTTTGAAGGGTGGTGCTCACTCGCTACAATGAGAGGAAGTGAAATAGAACCTGTGGAGCCTAGGGTATCAATGCATAAACAATAACTGTTAGGACATTCGACCGTCATTATCCAACATAAACATTTTACAAGCATAAATTTATTTGAATTGTTAACCACTTGTTACAAAAAGTCCTAGCAATAATAATGTGAAATAACAATGCTTATTTTTCAAAAATAAAATAAAATATTTATGTATGTGCTTGCCTCTCTGCGACACAGGTTCAATTCCCGACCTTCCACTACCTTACAATAAAGCATTTATTTTAACTTATAGTTACTTGTCATGACAACCAAAAACAATGTTCAGAATTTATTACATGAAAAAGTAGCTTYATTACTTACAAACCCCACTTTCAAAGACATGTTTACAAGTATGAACTGTACCTAAGTCATGCTCCTTACAAATTAGGATTACATCTTTTTGTTTCCAAGAATGCAGAAAATAAACCTGTGAAAAAAATACTAAAACTAAATAGTACTAAATTGTGCAAAACACTTTGATAGAGTGAATACTACAGTATATATCTATGAAATAGTTAACTAATAAAATTGTCCTACATAGTTTTTAACGAATATATATGATGTGCACCATATATTTATGAAAAAATCTTTGTAAGAAATTGGACAAATAAGTAAGTTCAGTGCATCTCAGGAGACCATAGACTTTGCACCAATTTGTAGAATTTTAATAGTTAACTTTTTCACAGGTATATGGTATGCCCTCTACTTTGTTTAAATATACCCCTTGCATGTTACATCAAAGCTCCTCAATATCTGGGGGACAAAACAAAAGAATTCCGATCTCCTGAGAATTGGAACCTATTGTTTTGTTTCCCAGATTGAGCTGCATTCCATATTGCTGCAAGGGGTCTATAGTACTATGTAGTAAGAATTATTTAGTACATTTTTATGGATTTATTGTGACATGCAATTATATTAATAATCCTTAGCTTTTGATTTTATGTAACATCTAGTTAACCACATCCTTCCATAATATTCTACTTTTACTCATTTATCCAATTTTACAAGACTTTAATAACTGACAACTAAAGTAAACTTGAACTTTTTAAGCACAGTTCAACCTTCATCCTTATATTGTCTTATACATTTTTTTACTCACATTTCTTTGTGACTAAAAAAAGGCAACCTTAGGCATAAATATGTTTTTCCATTTTAAACCATGGGAATAAGCATTTTGTTTGAGTCTATCCATATTCACAAAAAAACAAAGCAATGATACTCTAGGGAATAACACTCTAGTGGTCTGAAATGGAAAAACAATATGCCTAAGGTACGTGTAAAGAGGTCTATCTGCAATATGTGTGTTGTAACTTTTCTGAAGAAATTTATAGCAGATATGATGGCAATGTTGATTATTCTCGACTTTCACATCCCCATAATCCTTTGCATCTTTGGGGGGTAACCAGAGGGTAAAAACCCACTTATTTTGCTTAAGGCTGATCAGACAATGTTGAAAATACCTTGTTTGGTATCCAAAGATAAAATGAAGAAGTAAAAAACAGAAAAAGATAGAAGCTTGAAGACGTTTTAGGTAAATTTTAAAATTTTTTTCGTAAGTCAATACATTTTCTGTAAGACCAAAACTCTTCATGAACTGTACACGCGAAAATAACTTGGAATAAACTGATAATCAGTATTGTACAGATAAAAGCAGGTATAGTATAAATTCAATTAAGAAACCTTTCAATTTGGGACAGTTTTTTGATTGGTTACCCCCCAAAAACGCAAGGCATTATGGGGATGCGAATGTCGAGAATGAAGCATTATTTGGAAAATGTATTCAATCATAGTGGATTTAAAATGCAGAATGCTGAGATGTTGTGCAACAACAAAGAAAATCCTAACAAGCTATAGGTATCAATTACAGTCGTTTGCAACTAAGTGTGAACGCCAGACACTAAAACATGTTCTAACTGGCGGCCGAAACGTTGAGTCAACCAGAACATTTATGTTTTGAAATGATTCGTTGGACGGTTGGGCGCGCAAATTCCATCAGGTACTTCAATCTCGAAAGAATCAAAGTCGTTTTCTCTCCAGTACTTCATGCTTTTGTTTGAAGTAAAGCCTTTTTTTTGAAAATGTGAAGGATACTGAAGGAGATCAGGATCGATTTCTTCTAGAAACTCGCTTATGTCTACTCTTTCGAAAGAATCCATGACCAACACCAACAGATCAACATGCACACATATTTGAACAAACATTGCCATCAGGCTTGCCTTTGGCGCCAAACCTCAACGTTCCTGTTGATTAACTTCAACGTTTCAGCCGCCAGTTAGAACAGGTTTTAGTGTCTGGTGTTCACGCTTAGTTGCAAACGACTGTATAGATGTTCTGCAGGGTTAACCTTTTGGTTTTATGATTAGGATTATTAACCCCCATGTAGTTTCAAGTTAAACATTTGGAACACGTATCGGTCCTGCATAAAYGAGTCTCTAATCAGGTTCTATCTACTATGCAGACATTTTTAATTAATAAATTGCAAAATTCCTGCAAATTAGCAAGTTTTGTTAAGGCCGATTTAAACATGGTACAATTTTTCATCACAACTGTCTCACACAACATGCTTAAAGTTGTAGCTGCCATTTACAGTCATATGCAAGTTGTACGGTTGATTTACATGAAGCAATTTCTGTCATCAGTTTGTTGCACATGATATTTGAAAGGAAAAATTTGTGCCATGTAAATCAGCCTTTGCATCATCCACTTTGGGTAGTTAAAATAAAAACAAAATATAAATGATATGCTCTAGACAAGTACTATTACAACTTACAATTATTGACAATAAATCTTCAATTGAGGAAATATTTAGTCTGATCAACCACTACAATTTCTCAGAACATTCCTGGTGTTGTAGTAAAAATAGCTCTAAACCTTTCTATGTTATTTAGCTTTTTTGCAGGGCAAAGCTATATTTCAAGCAACTACTGTATACTAATCATGCTATATAATATTGTACATGAAATTAACTGTATGCAAGACACGACTATAAACTTTCTACATTTGGGATTTTATAAATTTAGGCCTATTTGTGTAAAATAGACTCATTGTAAATATTAATAGTGATTTATATTGATTATTGTTAGTAGCAGATTATATTTATCATTTAACCAATATCAAGTCTATTAAAACCAAAAGTGTACATTTCACGCCGCTGTTATAAAACAATACGAGGCAATACCGCATGGTGAAGATTACAGTGATTGAAATGTCTTGTGAAATAATCATACGTCACAACAATTGTTGAGGTAGCAATTGGCTATGTTTGTGAAATAATAGGATAGTGTGAAAGTTTACTATGTAAGAACATTCCTCAATTACTTTTGCATGATAAACGTAGGATCACGCCACAGAAAAACCACACAGTAAACTAGTCGTTTCTCCCAGTCCTTTGAAATTAAAAACAGAAAACAGATGCCGACCATCTACATTAAAGAATAGACAATTTCTGAGATGTGCGAGCGCTTTCATAAATATTACAGGTGCAGACAATAAGACAAGTCATTTTCAGGCAGTGTGATCAGAAACCACTGAAAACCATAGAGTTAAAGGTGACTTTTAAAACCTTTGGAAAAAAGAATTTGCTTGCGGTGAGCTATATTTTTTCATAAAGCTATTATTTGTTTCCCAACCAAAAGAAACATCAAAGTATTTCTCCGTTAACATAATTTCCAAGCTTTCAAAGCTGTTTTCAGTGTTTCCATGTAGCATGTAATAGTCTTGCCCAAAAACACCTCATTTTTTGAATCTGAGCATGTGATACTTTTGACAGCGCTTGCGCATCTCAAAAAATCTATTGGGATGTGGTGTTTGTTTATTGCCTTGTTAAATACTAAAAAGTTCCCCGTCTTGTAATGGAAGTTATCTGCAGGCATCGATTTCATTACTTGCCACATACAGCTGCACACTTGTTAGTCGATTCTCCTCTTCCTCTGCCTGGTCTTATTGATCGTCGTAGTGATGGATCTCCATATTGGATTCCTGATCCCATTCTGTCTGGGTCAAGTTCACCTATAACATAACACATGTTTCATTAAAGATTAATAGTGTTTCATACTGCTATTTTCATAAACATGCAAACTTGGTAGCTGCGAGCCATAGGCTAAAATTTGGTTTTTCGCTGCTCTCAATCAATTAACTAATCAGTCTATACCTTTCATATTTTTGACTAGCGAGAATAGAATTTAGAATTTAGAGTATCGGCATGCAGCTTACAGCTACCAAGTTCACATGTTTATGAAAATGGAAGAAAGTGCATATAATTTAACCCAAAAGGATGACTCCATAATTTGAAAAGCTGTACCATACAGTATACCTAAATGAAATGGCTGAAACTTATGTAACTTATTATATACCTGTACAAGTATAATATAGATGTATATGGTGTAGGGTATAATAGTCGGTTTAGTACGTGTGTTTGATGGTGTTGCCAAGAAAACACCCTTGGACCCAGGAACTTCTTGAGAAAAATAACGAAAGTTTAATTTCTGGCTTAATTTTTTTGAAACCAATTAATGAACTAAATTATCGTTATGACAACAAGTAAAAGTATCAATCCGAAAAGGAATAATAAAGGATTCTCGTTTTGTCTTGAATTATTAATTACAGCCTAGGTCCAAGGGTGTCTCCATTGCAACACAATGTTGTTACTTTTGGTGCTTTTATTGCTTTATTGTTTGATTTAATTGTTGTTTTTATTGTTGATGTTAGGTGTTGTTATCATTGCTGTTACCATTAGAATCATTTGTTGAATCTACTGCTGATGGTGTTGCTGTTGTTACATGTTGTAGTTTTGGTTGTTGTGTTTGTTATTGTTGTTGTTCTTACAGTTTTTATCTATTTGCTTTTGTTATTGTCATATTTTTGCTGTCGTTGTTTTGCATTTACCTGATTCAATTTTATTTAAGATTGTTCTGGAGCACTTGAGGAATGCCTCCTCAACATTTTCACCAGATAGAGCACTTGTCTCTAGAAATATTAATTCTGGGGAAGAAAATAATAAGAAATTAGTGTAATTGTAACATACTAGGTTTTCTAAAAATGGTATGACATAAGATATTCAAATTCTGATCACAAAATAATTTATAAATGAGTTATAGATACAGGTTTTTTTTGGGTTTGGAAAATGATTTTAATCACTTGTTATTCAAAAAAAAAAAAAAAATTAACCACTCTACTGCAAAAGGTAATTAGTATCTGGCCAAAATTTTGTCTTCCCCTTTACTTCAGTAGTTGTAATGGTGACAGCTAATTTACATGTATGTCTGCATTGCACTAGTTTGATCAAATTAAAGAGAGATACAGGTTTATTGACAACATTAGAAAAGATATTTTCCGCATTGACCTTGGTTGCAAATAAAAATGAAATGTTTTAAAGAAAAGTTTGTAAATGTAATATAGGTTGTCAAAGGCCTTCAACTTACCATTTTCCTGTGCAAATCTGCTGGCTTCAAGGAAAGTTACTTCCCTGTCTGCATCAAGATCCTTCTTATTTCCAACCAAAATAATCACAATGTTAGGGCTTGCAAGTGTCCTTGCATCTGACAGCCAATTTGACAATGAATTGAAGGTCTCTCGGCTAAAAAGAATAGTTATTGGAAATTAATAACATTTCTGATTTGATTGTCAGGATTTTGTTTTGAAGAGTTCGTGCCAAAAATACTAGTTAGAAAATGAGTTGGAATGATTCTATAATTTTATTATTTATCTTTTTCTTAATATTATCAAATTAGTTATAATTTATTTTAGTCATTTATTCTTTCTAAATGCATGTTTATTCATTGTTAGGTGATTTAGGAGAAAGATACTTCCAGGGCTTAAAATAATAGCTAGTCATTTAAYGATATCTGGCCATGTCAAGTCTTTGCCTTATCAGTCATTTTGACCAGTAATGTTAAGCCAGCAATGAGGTATGACAGAGCTAAAGCTTATTTGGCTGGTTATCATGACTGGCAAATGATTGGCTGTTACTTTAAGCCCTGACTTTGTGTAAAGCTTTTCACACCTGTCAGCAACAATTTGATAGAACCTAAGATCCAAGATAGATTTGATCTAACCACTCCATATACACTGTACAGCTGTACCATTATCACAGAATCTAATACTCATGCCCACTCTCTTGACATTCTTGTCATCACTAACAGAAGTTAAAGGGGCCGACATACAATTAATAATAATTAAATTGTCTGTTTTTTTAAAAAGCTGGGTGGCACTTGATAACCAGTGACCAACGGACCTGTGGCCTCATTCTATGATTGAATTGGAATTTAGAAGTTGAACTTTAATTTTTCTCATATTAATTAGTTTTGGTGCAAGTAATTTTATACCAGTTGCTCCATGTTGAGATGACAGAATAAATAGCCCCAAACTGTGAAACTGTGATAAAATGGCTGATGAAGTTCCTATGGATTTGACAGGAGCTTTCGCAGCGAACCTTCACAGCAAGCTAAATTTATGGACCCCTACCTTGAAATGTCATATACCAAGAGAGCACCAGCTGCACCTCTGTAGTAACTTCTGGTGACTGACCTGCAAAACCAAACAAGACAACAATCATAAGTCCTCATAAAAATGTATCCCCAACACAGGGGAAAAAACCGGATTCCCAAATTGGGAATTTGTTGGGAATTTCCTTGAATTCACAACGAATTCCCATCCAATTCCCAGAGAGAACGAAATTGGGAACGTGGCACTGATTCCCAATGTTAGTTTGTTGGGAATTTTGTTTTTCTATTGGATATTAGAAGGAAATTCCCGACAATAAAACACCACCTTGGTGTTCAAATTGGGAATCCAAGGAAATTCCCAACAATTCCCAATTTGGGAATCCAGTTTTTTYCCCTGTGCAAATGCACCTTTACAATTATATTTCATTTCAGTAGAATTAAAATAGCATTTTTCACAGATGACATGCATCATGGGATTGAAATGCAGACAAGCCAAGCCCAGCGCACATTCTAAAATGGTGCTATGATGTTATTTTGTTGTCTTAATTGTTGTTTTCATTTCCTGGAAAACAGTTACTAGCATGCTTTTTTGACTGAAATGCACCTTCTTTTCCATGCAGTAATCAAACCCTTTGTTGATGAAGTTTGTTCACATATCAATCCCACAAGGCTTTGTGATATCAATTTTATCAGTATCTGTGAAAAGCTATATTTCTCATTGCTTAATACTGACCTAAATCGTTCTTGTCCGGCAGTGTCCCAGATCTGAAGCTTCACAGACTTCCCTCCAACATTAATAATCTTGGATCCAAACTCAACTCCAATAGTATGGCTTGAGTCTTGCTTGACTGTTCAGTGATTGAAAGAATATTGTCAAGAATATCAGTTGCATTAAAAAACAATTATCAATCAGTACTAGCTGTATATCACCACCCTTCTTGCTTCAATGCACAAGCATTTCAAGATGGCACATGGGGAAGTGCCGTGAAGGGGACTATTTAGTTGCCAGGACAAAATAATGTTGTTGATAAAGATTTTAATCTACACGCATAAGTCACAATTTCTAGCCCTTTCACTTTTTCTTTTTCTTTTTCTTTTTTTTTTTTGGTTTGGTGTGTAATGAACAGCTGCTTTTAACAAAAAGCTGTCGCTAGATATTAACTTTTACATTACTTGTTAATTTACTAATTTGTATTAATTTTTGACTTGGTCTAATAGGGCCAATGAAAATACGGCAAGACTTACATAAAGTTTCCAAAAGCAATTATGCATGTTTTCATGCAATGACTTCTACATATGGCAGTGATTAGTGTATCTCATTTAAGCTACATTAAAATTAAACCATGCAGTACGATTCAACCAAAAAGCAGGATGGTACTCTATGGAAGACCAACCACATTACCAATAAAAAAACAATGCAATGAAAATAGACAAATCAGTAATCAGTTAAGGTGACTGCCTACTTTTGGAAATTGATTTAAGCTTTTTTTAAAACTTTGATTTTCCGAATTGAAATTTAATGCTGATTCCAAATCTGGAAAGAAAAATAGGGTGTCCCGAGCTCGTTTTTGAGATAATCAGCATATAATGGAAGCCTACGCATGAGCTTTTGGAGTAAAAATTGCGCTACTGGAAGTGATTAGAAAAAAATTAAGATTAATAAGATAATAGTTATTTGCAGACTATATGATTGCACGAACGAAGGCTAGTCAATCCTTCTACAAAAATACATGGATATTTTCGACAAAAAGACAGAAAGATACGTTGATTTGTCATATTTTGTAGTTTTGGTGCTCTTAAAAAATCTCAAAGTCGAACAAAAATCCCTACAAAAATCTATTTTTTCACGTGTTCCTAATTTAAACTTTTCCTAAAATGTTGATATGACCTAGATTTTTAGGAGTTTTTTCGAATGATCTATCAAAAAATATAGAGTCCCGTGCAAAATTTGAGGGTTTTGCTCCGTTGAAGCTCAAAACGCGTATGGTTCTTCAATAAAATCTTGTAGATTTTTCAGCAGTTTCTGAGCGCGCGCACATCGTGGGCTCAAATCGAACGTTCAAAAATAGGCAGCCACCTTAAGCTTAGCAAAAAAATCATTATCTAGTCAAAATAGAGTGCTTTTAGTCTCACTGTTGAATAGTTAGATAAATTTATCTAACTTAGATAACTATTCAGTTGACATCACCTAAAATAGTAAAAGCGCGCCAAATAACGGTCATGATAATCCGGGGGGTTGTTTTACCAGAGAATGAGTGAATAGACATCCATTTGTATCATCGTTTCTCCCCCTGATCTCAGTAGCTGTTTACTCATAGTTTCAAATTTAGCCAACATCACCTAAAATAGTAAATAACTTATCTAATTTAGTTGACGTCAACTATTCAACAGTGAGACTAAAAGCACTCTACAGGGCTTATTTAAAGTGCGTAGCTGTCATTAGAAAATCTAGTTTTACATAATTAAGCTTAAATTTTATAAACTTAAGCATAAGTYATTTGAAGGTCTAATAATATTTCATGAGTAGAAATGCTGTTCTTCGACTTGAAAATGATTAAATAACGACAGCATTCGCAGATAAGTAGGACGTAAAGCTAAGAAGGAAAAAAGGTTCCGAGATGACACGATAGTAAAAATTATGAGATTTCTTACCAGTTTTTAGAGTGACTGGCTTAAAAAACACCAACGTCAAGAGGAGGAAGAGTCAAATTACAGAGACTGACGATTATTTTTCCTAAATACTTACATTTGCCTTCGATAAACTGGTGCAGAATGCACGATTTGCCGGTGCCAGCGCTTCCAATCACCAGAAATTTGAAGAGGAAGTCTAAAAAAGGACAAGACGAAGAGGTGATATTTTTCCCAAACATGGCGGCTTAACAGATGACAAATAACACATAAAACGAACGTCATTCCCCTTAAATACGTTATCACTTTGGCTCAATAAAATCCTAACTTACCGTAAGTCTCTGACATGTCAAAGAAAGTGTTTATGAAGCGCTTAGATCGCTGGAAATTTAATCCAAGGTTTTTCAAAGTTTCTGCTCTTCTCTAAATATTCTCCTATTGCTGTATTTACCCAGGGTTCAATGCACAAACGTACTAAAACTGGTTCGACCGGGGAGGGGTCAGTATATTTTTGCACTGTAAAAATATTAACTCCTCTCGGTTCCGTTTTATGCTAGCATATTTACTTCTCCAACCTACAAATTCATTACGATGAATTTTATTATGTGATTTCCTTAAGAAATTCTTTCGTTCTTTTTTTTTTTTTTTTTTTTTTTTTTTTTTTTTTTTTTTTTTTTTTTTGGTAAATTTGCTACTCTAGCAACGAACGGCATGGCGAAAAAAGGAGAAAAAATTATTAAAGTTTTGAACGAATTTTAGTCATTGCAAGTTTGATTTTTTTCCTTTGCAGATAGTAGAATATATATCGGTGCTCGCTAAACGTTTAAGCTTGGGTTGCCTGTGTTGTTTGTTAGTTGGTCAAATTGTCCCTACCCCCTCCGGTGCGGAGTCCAATATTACCCAAGATGCACTTTAATCGGAAGTGGCGGCMATGAGAGGAGATTACGTCGTTCTTTGGTTTATAAAGAAAATTTGAATCAAGATGGAGCTTCGTAACCGAAAAACAGACTCTGGAGGTAATCATGTTATTAATGCTGTATCCCTCTGTGTTCCSAATTTAATCTGTTTTATTGTCAAATCAGGAAATTCTGACAGTGAAGGGGAATTTAGTGGCAAATTGCTTGGGAATCGTCCGATTCCTATAGTCGTTGCAACAGAAGAACATGCGTTTGACTTGGACGAAGAAGCTCTTGCTAAGATTTTACTCGATGATAAAATRAAGGATAAGAAAGTCGCTGTCATTTCCGTAGCTGGTGCTTTTAGGAAAGGCAAATCGTTCCTTTTGGATTTCTTCCTGCGTTATTTAGATCGCAAGGTAAGGGCGGTTCTTTTTCTTCTACTGTTCTGTTTTTACACTCGTAAAGCGCCAAAAATTAAAATTTTTCATAAACAAACCGATTCTTTTAAATATTCCTTGGCTTCCCGACAAAAACTTAACMTTTTGATCTTCTATCCCCTTCATTTCCACATTGTTTTAACTTATTATTCTCTAACTAACAGAGAACAACTATATAATTTGAAAGATTTTAGTTATAATACATGTAAATGCTACAAGCAGTGACGCGTTCAATTATTCAATTATGGCTTTCTGTCAAAAAACGAGACAATATTGATTCAGCCCTCGAAAATCTGAATAAACTCACCCATATTCTTTATGCATTCTGTATTTTTTCTATTTAAATTTTTGAAAATACTAGCCAACCATTTGTCTTTATTTTACTTCGATATTATAGCATTTGAAATCACCCAAATAAGCTTAAATCTTTTATAATACCAATGTTTGCACTTCAGAAAATCACTGTTTGTTTCCTTATTTCTTATTAATTTGGCATTTCCTGCCGATATATTGCATTTGATATGGTTAAGAAGTTTATTAAATGCAATACATTTTGTGCTTTTTCAAGAGTTTTAAAATTTAGGTGGAATTTGTACATTGAACTGCAACCTTTAAAAATATTGTCGTTCTGTTCTGTTTAGAGAAAAGTAAGACAAGGCTGRATATTAGAACCAAGTTTCAAAATTATAAGGATTTAATATTTAAGATATATTGTTGTGATAATTACAATTATATGAATTTCAATGAATGGAAAATTCAGTAATGGAGCATAGTTGATATAGAAAAAGAGCCTTATGGGAGATAAAATATTATCCTTGCATAAGGACTATTTGGGTAATAAAGGAGGAAAGATCTTAAGAGTTGTTAACTCAACTCTAGCCATTAGCTCTTGATTATAAACGTACTGATACTATATAGGATATCCATTAGGACTGGCTAGGTAATACRGGGAGCTCTGGAAGTGTTGTTGCTGTACAGACACACCAACTTAACCAGGACCACTTGAACAAAACTGACCAATCAGATAACAGTAAACTAGACAGAGATTAAACTGATAACAGTGTTAGCCAATCAGAATATTCAYATTCTCATGCTCTTATTATATYGATTTGTATCTAATTGGCTGGGTAAAAATGTTGCAATATGATTGGTTAATGATACTCGTTGTACGTAATCAAAGTGGTCCACAGAAACTTGACACTGGGTACATAACAATAGCGCAGCACACTGATTCTAAAAGTAGGGTTGTTAATAACCAAACCCTAGCTTCATAACAATAATTGATTATAATATTATCCTGATACTATATAGGATGTCCATGAGGACTGGCTCGGTAATGAGAGGGAAGCTCTGGAAGGGTTCTCATGGAGAGGAGGATCAGAAAGAGATACCACAGGAATATTATTGTGGAGTAAACCTTATATATGTACTTTACCTAATGGAGAAGAGGTAATCCATAGTAACATCTTGACATGTTATTATAAAATAATTGGGATACTACGCGCGCTATGATTGGTCGAAAACCATGTTTGATGAGAGTATCAAAACACGCTATYGTCATTTTTAATCTATCGCGTGCGCTCATTGGTCATAATGAGAATAAGAATAAGACGGCACGTAGGGRGAATTTACTTAGACTTTGCTTTTTTTCGATCTTTTCGTGCGTTTGTTATTTYATAAAACAAATCAAAAACAGTTTTTATCTGTTAATTCAATGTTCAGTATTTTTTGCCATATGTTTAGATATGCCATGGCACTTAAAGGAAAGAAATTGTGAGAGCTACCAAGATTTGAGTATCAGATCCATAGCTAATAATTATTACAAGACTTCTTAGAATGAAGCTAGAACAATATGACTTAAGTTCTAGATAAATATAAGTTTTAGTTTGTTCACTTCAAGGTTTCCCAACCATTATCAATGGTAAGTCCCAAAATGTTAGAGATAGCCATTTATACATGTCGATCAAGAAAGAAAATGTGAAAACAATATGTTAAATACCATGGCACAATGCTCTTAAATTTCAGGCCTCACATCATCACTAATTTTTGCCTTTTTAAATCATCCTCTACAAATCCTCTGCTAAATAGGTTTTAGTCTAGACATTAGCATGTTGATGCTGTGTTTTGATTTCTTGTTTCTTATAAAATAAATCACTTTATTTAAGAGTCTAGTTGTTCTAGCGCTTTCGCACTAATTGGGGACACTTTTCACTCACATGCGCTTCTACTACATTCATTATTCTAACGCTCAGCTCACATTTTTTATTTTGTACATTTAGGTGGTTGTTCTTCTGATGGATACTCAAGGCGCATTCGATAGTTCATCTACTGTCAAAGACTGTGCTACTATCTTTGCTCTTAGTACAATGACATGTTCTACTCAGGTGAGGACACAGTCCATCTAAACAATAAACAATGTAAAGTTGCCTTTTTATTTAAATCAAATATCTTATCTTATAATCAACAAGTCATGGTTCATTGAAACAAGTTCAAGCTGAAGTTTGTACCAACTTGTTGGGAATTTGTGATTGATTACTACGGAATCAGGGCCAAAGTTTATTATACCGCTATTCCAAAACTATTTTGTGTCAAGGTTTTGTTTCATGATTTTTTTCTTACCGTGCTTGAAATGTATTTCTTCATATTTATATACTATGCTTAACACTTGAGTAAGAAAYAAGACAGTTTTGAGATGTACATTTCACCGTSAAAACTATGTTGTTAGGGGCAACGGCATACTATTATGAGGTAATCTCAAAAAATCTCAAAAAAATGGACATAACTCGACAAGGCAGAACGTTTCAGAGAGGTCTTCCTCTTTCAGAAGGTTTGAGAACTTCCATCATTGATGAAATAGTAGGGAATGGAGGAGATACTGTATATAATTATATTGGCTACTTTTCTGGATGATTTTCAGCTGCAGGAAGGAAGTAACCTTGCACTGTTGCCCCTAGCAACATAGTAGTTTTGACGGCAAAATCTTAAAACTGTCTCGTTTCTTACTCAAGATATAAATGTAGTATGTAAGCACAGAAGAAACTATACCAGAAAATTTGTTTGTTCAATAATAAATTCCATATTGGTGTGACCTTTTGCTCGATTGCATTGACATAAGGATTTTGGGTTTGACATACAGCATCCAACAAAACCTTTAAGCTGCCATTGGATACATGTTGCATTTTTTTTTT